CAGGACAACCTACCCAGTATGGCCCCATTAAGAAGAATTAACCCCCCCGCCCACTTTGCCTTAACGAGGTCATGCCAGCTGGTGTCTCTGCTGGGCCCGGTCCCTGCTGTAGCTAGAGAGCAGAGGGGAAGAGCCAGCTCTCTGGAGCAGAAAGCCCTGCCCAGCCCAGAGAGCATGCCGGGATGCTGAGGGAGTTTGGTTTATCTTAAACCAGCAAGGGGTCTAGGACAGACATTGCATAAACCGGTTTGAGCCACATCAGTTAAGTCTGATACTACATTCTACCAGGTTTATCTCAGACTGGTTTCAGTGATTTTTCAAACTGGTTTATATACACTGAATGTCTGTTCTGTTACAGGTTTAAACCAGTTTCTGATCACTTAAACTGGTTTATGTGTAATGTCTGTCCCTAGCCACCCTCACTCTCCCTTTCAGCATCCATTCTCTTCCACTGAGAGACAGGATACTGAGCAAGATGGACCTGTCGTCTGACCCAGTAAATGGCAGTTCTCATGTTCCTATGTTCTCAGTTTTCTCTATATCAGCTAAGTATATAGCATCTTTCACTCTCACTGTCTACTCAGTAACCTAATAGTATTCCAGTTAACTGCGTAGAAACAATCAAGGGAAAGCAGCTGTCAAAGGGATGCTGTTAGAAGTCTTAAAATTGATGGGAGCTAGTCAGCTTCATGGCTGGTGTTAGAAGGCTCAAAAGTGAGGCTTGCTAATCTCTTTTGGCCTTCTCAGACTGCCGCCCTGACAGTGCTGTGTTGAATAAGTGCATGGTTGTTCTTCAGTCTTGAGGTTATACACTTCAGCAGCATACACTGTACTGCTTTGTGCAACTCACTTCTGGCTGATTGTTTGTTACTGGTCCCTGAAATAGATATTACATCCTACTGCCTACATTAAAATATATTTTATAGTATTTCCATTAGAGAAAGTTACATTTGAGGTTTTGTACTATAAATTTTTTATATATTCCTGTCTAGCTCAAAACATTCTCAAGCATTTCCCCCTCAGCCTGAAATGTTCCTTGGCTGTTTGCATCATGATAATTTCAGAGGTGTTTATTGTGAATGCTTCAACAAAAATAATTTATCCCTGTTTTTACTTAGTAGTGATTTGAGAAAAAATAGTATGTTTGCCTACTTAAAAATATCTGTTCAGAAAAACATCTGAATTAAACTGACAGCCTTTGAACTTAAAAAAATTGATCTTCCATGTACTTAGTCCTTATTGATGAAATTACTTACAGTTTTTTGTTTAAAAAGAAAATAAAAGTACTGGGACAAGATTTTATTTGTCATGGCTGTATAGTACTCAGAAAGACATTAATATAGCATAGTATTACTTAAGTATGCAGCCTCTTACGAACTTCATTAAAAAATGTTGCATTTGATCCACTTTCAACTTTAAAGTATGCAGAGTAATGTGTAGGAGAAACAATGTTTGCCATCTGTTTTTGTGTTTCCTAAAAAATGGAAACTACATCCAAAAATTTAGTTATGAATTGAGAGTGTGATTTTTTTTTTTCCCCCCAAACAATTTACGATATGTTGCTGCTCATTCCAATTTTAATAGGACCTGGAAATCCAGATCCATTTGGTTACTACAAATTACAGCCTCAAATGTAAAAACACAAGAAACAGATTATCTCCTTCCTATATAGAGCTTACGTTTGTCAAAGATTTATGGGTATTGCAGAGATTTGCCGTATAAGGGAGGGAGGGGGTAAAATATCAGTTCAGACTTGAGTATGAACCTTACATGTGATTGTCTGACTCTTACAGGTCTGTAGGGTTGGTGAGTCACCATTGCTGTGAGAACCTGAACTTTTGCATTTACTGTTTTTTGTGAGTTTAAAATCATAGGCTGTTTACAGACATTTAAAAAAAGCAAGCAGCACTTTACTTTAATCTCTGCACACCCCTGCACTGAGCCCAGTGCCTACCCAGGAGAGACATTGCGTTAGTTGGACCCAGCTCACCCAACCTCTGTATAGATCAAGCGCTTTAGTGGGGCTTTTTTGGCATTTTTATCTAAAAGCGCCGTAAAGCTTTGCTGAAGCACTCACTGTATACAGACACTGGAGAACTGGGTCAAACTAACACTGCTGCTTCCAGTAAAGAGCTCCCCCCCCCAGTCTGTCAGCAGCCATAATGCTAATTGTGTATTCTTGTAAGATATTCATTTTAAAAACATTTTATTCTTCTTTCCCTCCAGTATTAAATTTTATTTTTGTGTGAAACCAGTATAGAAAGTCTGTTTTAGTTAGATGGATTTTTATCCCTTTTAATAATTTAAAATTCTGTCTCGGGCAAACCCAGTCATCAATATTTTAAAAAAATGCTATGAACCTCAATATTTTTTATATCTCCTATGTACTGTAATACAACCTGCTTCAAGTAATTACCATATATTATAGCGGTTGCTATTAGTGACTGCTATAATTAAGGTTGCAAATCAGTTTCCATTATAATCCCTTGTTTTCACACAATCATAACTTGTCAAAACATTAACCTTTGGGACTGAAGTTTTCAATGCTTGGTTTCTGCTTAAAGGTAAATGTTTTGGGGAGGAGGTTGTTTGAATGATCATACAGCAAACCTTTGTCAAGTGTTTTTTGTGTTTGGTGACCTGTTTCACTACATGCTGAAATCTCTATTTTCATCACTGCGAGGGACCATGTGCCATGCAACCATACAGCCCTGAGCTCTCTTGAGTTTTGTTGCAACTTTTACAAGTGGTTGGCCTTTAAAAGTGTTTCTTCTTGCACAGTAATCAAGAAATGTTACATAGTCATGATTCATAAGACTCTCTCCTTGTAAAGAAGAGTAAATCAAAATTATTGACTGATGAGGAAATTGGTGGTTAGAGTGGTCGTAGAAAGGTGGGGCCACAATGGTGTAGTGACTTTATCTTTGATTTTGTCTTGTCTTTGGACTAAGATGCTTTACGAGTCTGTTCTTCTGTTTCCTTAGCTATAAAACTTGGATACTTGCCCACCTTTTATAGTCTATGCAAAACATAAACATCGAGTGAGATCTAAAGACTACACGTACTATATTGTAACTTAGGGTTGTCCAATTGGCCACCCATGAGATGCATTGGGTCTGTGAGGTGTTAAGGTATGGCCCACTGGCACCTGCCTGCATGCCACTTCTACCACTGGTTCTGCTGCTGCAACAGCCGGGATCTCTGCGGCACAGCCAGAGGTGGAGAGCTTATGTTCCCGGCACAGCAGCAGGAGGACTTTGTGCTGTCCACATAGTGACAGCAGGAGATGGGGAGGCTCACACTGCCTGCATGGCATCAGGCAGTGGGGGAAGAAGTGGGCTTATGGTAGTTGTGCAGTAGCAAGAGTTGCGATGCCTGTGCACTGGAGGATGGGATAGCACTGCATGCGTGGTGTCAGGACATGGCCCTAAAGCTAGCGCCTTGGCTTGTCTAATGTGGCAGCTCACCCTGTCTGCCACCTCCCTAGTAGAAGACGGGAGCAGACATAAGTAGCAAGAATCCCCCACTTGGGCCTAGTCACATACTCACCCCCTGCTGCCAGAGTGGCAAGCCAAGGTCAGCTGACCTCCTTGACCCAGAAGGGCAAGTGTCTGTACAACAAGGCTCAACCTAGACTGCTGCACCCTTTGGCTTGTGCCGCTCCTGACCCCTGGATACCCAACTTGGCTCTGGCCTGTCCTCCTGGATGCCTGACCCAGCTAGTCCTTCAACCTTGTGTTCTGCCTGACCCTCTGGATCCCCAACTCAGTTCCCGGGACAGGTCTCCTGGTTTCTTGTAACTATGAGGTCAGGGGTCCCCAGACCAGGCCACCCACGTTCCAGCATGTCACATGGTAGAAGTGTCAAGGAGCTTGCATGGTATGTGGCTTCTAGCTTCTCAGAAGTTGGACAGCCCTATTGTGACTTACTGTACAGGGGTTATTATCACATGTCAGTATTTATCCCACATTTATCTGAGAATCCACATTCTTCCCATGTAAAAAGTTAGTTGTGTATTGCTATGATGCTGAAATGGTGGTTAAATAGGGACTTTTTAATAGTGACTCTTCCAAGGAAGATTGTGTTCCAAATTCCTGTTTGTAATGTATTTTGTATGACTTGACAGTTTATTTTGCTATAAGCAAGCCACATTTTAAACCATAAGCACAAGTGTATGCCTGGGCCAGCAGGGTGAAGCATAAGCTCTCAACCTTAACACTCATTTCCTGTGCTTGTTTATCATCCTTAACATTATATTAGCACTAGGGGTTTTTTGCATAAAATTCATTTTAAGAAATGGTGATTGGTTCTTCAATACAGCCCTCTAGAACAGGGTTTTAATTAGTTTCTTGAGATATATGTGATAATAAACTGAAATATAGTTACTAAGAAAAATTGCAGTTTTTTGTTTCATTTAGAAACAGCTCTTCACTAGTCTGTATAAACTCTGTTATGTATGTAGGTATTTATTCTTGGCGAGATATGGTTAATATAATGCACAGGTGGGAACTGCTTATTTAAAAAGTCATAACCTAGGAAAGGACACCTTTTGCAAAATGATCTTTTGAAGAAGACTCTCTCTCTGCATCGTCCATTCACTTCATTGGTACTTTCTTCAGATGTGAGGGTTCCCACATCTGGATCCTTTCTGAGGATTGAAGTCTTTTATCTGAAAATATTACAGCTCTCAGAAGTCCTGTGATTTGTCTGACAAGATGTTTTTATTTACATGTGCCACTGCTTTAGTGACAACTTAATTTTGAATGTGTGAGTGCTAACGACCTGATCCAGAATCCACTGAAACCAGTAGTAACCCATCCATTCTTTAGATCAGGTGTTTTGTTTTGAGGTACCTCAAGTAGAGCAAGGGTTCATACAAAGACATTTACCATTACATTGTAAAGAGTTACTATACATGTTTAAAATGATTTGATATTTTTTCAAAATGTGATGGATTTAAATGAATTCCTGTTCTTTGTTCTTTGTTTTTCCCCCTCCAGTGGCAGATGAAAGTAAAGTTAGTTCATTGGCTGGACAGAAATTAGGTAAGAAATTATTTTATCTTTCTGCCTCCTCTCTTCCTCAGGCCCAGAAAAAAATAAAAACAACCTGTGTATGAGCATCAGTTGGACTGCGCTTGCAGACTGTGTTGCCTGAAAGATTTGCAAATTAATGTATGATATTACTCCATCTTCTACAGTGATAAATTAGGGCTTACTTATTGCTTGGCAGTGTATGTAGCTGAATCATTTGCCGGAAAAGCAGTAACTGTTTCTTTAAAGATATAACTGTTTAAAGATGAACAGAATGATAGTTGAAATAAGTAAAGAACAAAGTCTGTAACATTTTCTTGTGTCAGTACAGACACTTAAACCATATACCTTTTGAACAATATAAATGTTTTATTCTCTTTCTTTTCCTGAAAGACTCCAAATGCTCCATTTTCACAATCAGAAATATGAAAAACAGAAGACAGACCAAACCTTTGACTTTTTTTCTTCCTTTTTAGTCATCTGCAGAAATTATATTCTTTTAGTATGGCCATAGTTTTCTTAACTAGTTTTCTATTCCTAACCAATTTAGGTTTTTATTCAATGATATTACCTTGAGGCCTTATGCCCATTATAATTAATAGAAGTTTTATAGAAAAGGCTGTAGTGTTGTGCAGGGTGCAGTTCCTGTATTACTGTAACTTTCCAATAAAGATCCCAAAGGATTGTGATTTTAGGATAGCCATAAAAGATCGATGCAGTAGCTCACATGACATAGCAGACATAGGAGCAGGGTTTCTAGAAAATTCAAATTATTCAGAAGTGTCCCATTAATAATAACCATGAAATTCAAGGTTGCTCCTTATTATATATCTAAATGCTGTATTTTTCATCCACCTGTCAGATCTGAAATAACATCACCTTTCTGTTTAATAGTTTAGTTTTTTCTTAAACCTGTTTGTATGCTTAGGAAATGTGTTGATGTATTCATTGGTTTTACCATGAAGACAGTTGTTTCACAAGTAGAGACCTTCTATCAGAATTTTTTTTCTGTGCCAGTTATTTTCTCCTAATACATCTAGCCCTCAACGTAGAAGAAAGTGGGCATTTAATTAGAGTTGCACTGATAAATCAGTCTGATATTGGATCAGCACCAGTATAAAGGAAATTGATTGTATTGGAAATCGGCTTAATGTGGCCAATAATTTGCCAATAAATGCCTGTGCTTGCGCACAGCTACAGCGCGGCACACAGGCAGCGAGGAGCACAACCCAGCAGCTTGGAGAGCTGTGTGCAGCTGGTAAGTCTGTTGTGGTGGGAAGGGAGGGGGGAGGGAAGGGGCAGATCAATGCCCTCCACAGTGAGGGAGGGAGTGGGACTGGGACTGGGGTAGGTGCTGCCCAGCCAGGGCAAGGATGGAGCTGTGGTTCATCTGAGAGGGCACCAGGGAGGGGATGCTCCTGTATATGTGGGAGGAGGCAGGGGCTCGGCCAGGCAGCACTCAGGGTAGGTGGCGGCAACACTGACAGCGGGCTACAGTGAAATTTGCGGTGGCTGTAGTCCAGCCCAGAGTCCCCCTCCCAGCGCCACCACCGCCCGCCCCAAGTGAAGCTCGGCCCAGC